GAATAGTTGCTACACAGAACGCAACAAATCTAGGGTACCCTGTAGAGGTTTTCCTAGTAAAATTACAGGTGCGGATACTCATGCAAGTACTTGTTCAGTAAACATACTGCAATGGGTACCCAATGCAGCACCTACGTCAGTATAATTACTGAAAATTTTCGAAGTACCCATATCGGGTACCCTCCTGAGGCTTTCTCAGTACATGGGTAACCTGAACTCAGTACTTTCTCTAGGGTAATCACTTTTCGTTTAATATTAAATAAAATACATTCAACTTAAATATCACGACTTCGTACGAAATGCAGCTCCTGGGATCGTACGAATATCTGTATTTAAAATTTGCAGAGCTTCGCTAAAAATGTTATTCGAACTTCAATCGTAGTACACTAGTGCTCTCTATATAAAATTTTTTTTTGAACACTCGTGTGACTCATGGAATGGTATCATTTATAACAAAGAGATGATTTCATCTATAACAAAGAAATGATATCATTATATAAAGGGGATCTAGAATATATTATATGTTGCATTTGAAGATGTGTCGACAAAAGGTATAGTATATAACAAATCTTTTTGTTTTAGATTACATTAAGCCCTCACATTTAACTATGCACGCTACAACTACAAATGCACTTCGTGTTATTGATCCAGTAAGAATTCTTAGAGCAACCGATCACTATAACTTCGTTTATGTTTTAGAATCAACCATGGAAGAAGCATCAAGTTGATATGAAATCATTGCAGGAAGAAATTCGTCAACTTAAAGAAAAATTAACTGAAAGTCAGAAGGCAAATGATAAACTTAATGATTTGAATTTGAAGCTATGGAATGATTTAAAACAACTTGGTGATTATGTCAATACATTGAAAAAAACAATTGAAGATCTTCAAACGAAATTGAACCAACAAAATGAACTTAGCTTCAGTTCGAGTTCCCTTAAATGCGTATGGAATCCCATGAATGGGTATGGATCTGGTCCGAAACTGACTGGACTTCGCTTGAGATAGCTATAATTCCCATGGAGTCCAAACAATTGTTATACAATTCGCCTGGTATTAGTTCGATTTGGACCGTTTTCCCCACAATTCGTATGCAATCCTAGAAATTTGTGTGGAATTGGTTTCAAACTGGCTAGGCTTGCCTTCAGCCGGCTACAACTCTTATAGAATCCTAGAAATTTCAATCAAATTGGTCTCAAACAGGCTAGGCTTGGTCTCAGCTGGCTAGAATTCATATCGAATCCTAAAAATTCATATGGAATTGGTCTCAAACAGACTAGGCTTGGCCTTAGCTGGCTACAATTCTTCTCGAATCATAGAAATTCCTATGGAATTTGTCTCAAACAGACTAGACTTGGCCTCAGCTGGCTATAATTCTTATCGAATCCTACAAATTTATATGGAATTGGTGTCAAACAGGCTAGGCTTTGCCTAAGCTGGCTATAAGTTTTTGGGGAATTCCAAGTCTAGCCAGTTGCAAATCAATTGCATATATATTCCTAGAACTCCGTACGAACTATAGCCAGCTGAAGCCAAGCCTAGCCTGTTTGAGACCAATTCCATATAAATTGCTAGGATTCTCTAAGAGTTGTAACCAGCTGAGGCCAAGCCTAGTCTGT